ATATTACATCAGCAATTATGTTATTACCCTTTAAAAATAAATTGATTTCTGGAGATTATCCAAGGTGCTTCATGACCCATAATTGGGTCCCAAGCCCAACTTTGGGAACCAAAGTGCAGTGGTTCCCAAACCTTTCAGCTTTTGACCCACAAAATAACAGTAGCAGAGACCTGTGCCCCCAACTATTTTTGGATGATAAACATTTGAATCAGGTCAACTAAACATGGGCATAGTCACAATATTTTTCATACTACATTTATCCATTTTAAATATACTAACCTCACTCCGTTGTAACAACTAAGGCAAAAATGTAATTAATTCAGAAAATCTTTTCAGGACCCCACCTAGATATTTCGGGACCCCACTTTGGGTCCCGACCCCAACTTTGGGAAACGCTGTTCTAGACTTAAGAGGTCAGGGGTGTTAATTGCAATCTGTCAAAATGACGGACGGCCTTCAGATTTTTCTGTCACTGTGTAAAAAAAACAAAAACAAAACAAAAAAAACTGTCAAATATGGAAATGAGTCCGTTAATGCCACCTCTGATATGTATAAACTCTGTTACTAGTCAGGGTTCCTTTGAAAGAGGCAGGGGGAAATTCAGATGAAGAGACAAGAGAACAGCTACTCAGAGTGGGAAGCCACAGAAAAAAAAAATTTTATTTACGTTAAACAGTTAATTTGGTAAAAAATACTTTTACTCAAGCACATCTAGGGTGTAAAAGGAAACAAGGTTGAATGTTTTTGTATTTCGTGCACAAAAGACACATTTGCAGGATAGAAAAATACACTTCTACAAAAGACTGGATACCAGCCCGTTGGCTTTCACTCTAACAGCTTCAGAGTCCGTAAGGCGGACAGCCACAGTCCAGATCTTAGTCCCAGAGTTTAATCTGTCCATCCCATCCACAGGTGATCACCTTGGATGTTTCATGCGGATGCCACAGGGCGCTGATGCACACTTTATCATGAGCCTTGATCCTGTGGTAGAGCTTGGTTGTCTTCCAGTCCCAGATGTTGAGCTTTCCATCTGCGTCCCCGGACACTACATAACTGTTGGGGAGGGGAAAAGAACAAAGGAGGATGAATTGATTAGCACGTCTTCTACACGCATCAAAACACAGGAGCAAGAATTTGTCCTTTTTAGTTCAGGAGGATGTTCCCATGGATACTAAGAGGAAATGAGGGCACCAGGTAACTCACAGAGGAACTGAGTGAGAAAAGAGGCAAATTTAAAAAAAACAACATGCTCAAATGAATATACACTACTAACATCAGGCAGCTGGACTGCTGGAGTAAGATTTCCTTGTACAGATGATGTAGCTTTTTGCTCCACTGCTCTTTAAAATGTGTCATTTAAAGAAAAGAGAAAGATGTGACATAAAATGAGCAGAGGTAGCTGAAATKTATGAGCATATTTAATCAGTAAATAACAACTAATAAAATACTGTATGTCTCATCATTGTATTATGCCAACTTTGTATGTCCACTTTGTTTCTCATTGTGTCTCATTTTATCCGTACAGATCAACAATAATTTATTCACTAAAAAAACCACCTGGTATGAAATGCAGGCATTCATATTAAAACGCACTCTTTTTGTTCTGCTCCATCATTCTTGCTGTATTTTTGTCTCCTTGCCCTAATTTTAGTTTTTTATTCAGCATTCTGCTACTTTTAGCTTGCTTTTTGCTACTTTAGCTTTTAGCTAATCTTTAGCTTTTAGCATTTTGCTACTTTTATTAAGTGTTCTATTTCTTAAAGTGTTAATAACTCATTTTCAGCTCCTTTGATGTCAGTCAGCTCTCAGAATTCATGCTTCATTTCTTTAGTTAGATGTAAGAATTTGTAGTCCTGACTGCTGCAAAAGAATCACTGCCTCTTATAAAAAAAAACACATAGATAACATGAAAGTTTACCTCATGTCTGGAGAGAAGTCCACCTGRCAGGCGTAACCGGCCACCATGTGGCCTTTAAAGACTTTCTTTTTGTTCAGTCTGAAGCGGTTTTGGGCTCCAAAGATAAGAATCTGGTTATCCATAGACTGACAGGCCAGCCATTTACCTGGGAGTGAAAACAAATAAAACAGATGTAAACACAGAGCCTGAACTTGTGATCCCTGCAGCATACTTTAGAGGCTTTGTTAACACGCTACGACATGCCTACAAATTGAGGAAAATTATATTTGACATTAAGTTAGGCAGGTTATAAATGAAACACAGGGTGTGTCAGGAGTAGGAACATGACTAAGCTTAAAAGGAGACAGCACGCTTTAAAATTATTTTTCACATTTAAATATAAAATATATCAAGTGGAATTGTAATGCTTTGGTCTGAATTCCTCCTTATTGTAACTCCACAAGCCCCTCTTTCACACCTTTCTGAGGCATCTCAGATCAACTCATTTTGAGGCCGTCTCATTAAATCCAAATGAGGCGCTTCACACCCTGCCAGCTGAACTCTGTTCAGCATGTTTCAGGTGGTTTTCTATTACACTTCAGTAACAGCTCTTGGGTGGGTTTATTGTAAAGTTGGGAGGTCCCAGAGTCTGGAAATTGTCGCCACACGCCTCACCAGCTGGTGGTGGTTGTGCTCCATTAGGCTAATGTATTTACCAACCACCATTAAACATACACTCTAAAAATGAAATGTTGGATTTACTTAACCATGTTATGTTACCTGGTTCCACTTAACTGAGTTGTGTAAATTCAAAGTAGCATACTCATGTTCTTTGGCTAAAAAACTGGTTTATTGCTTTGAATTTACTCAACTCAGTTAAGTAGAACCAGGTAACATAACATGGTTAAGTAAATCTAACATTTCATTTTTTACAGTGTAGCAGAAGAAGATGACACCGAAAAGATGAGCAATACAACAATGGAGGACATGGTAGCGTTGTTATTGCAAATGGTAGATTGGCTTGTTGTGAGAGTAGCTCTTTGGATGCAGCTGCGTTTCCATTGCAAATGTGCGCAAAACTTTTTCGATATTCTGTTAATGCCGAAAAACACCGTTTTGCAACAGCGTTGTTTCCATTAAGTAAGAAATGCTATTAAAGTCACGCATGAATACGCTTGTTCTCGCGATAAGTCATTACAAACATGGCTGCAATGGATGTAAACACATAGCATGTTGCTACCGCGACACTAGCGCTCATCAGAGGAGATGTTGGCGTCTTTTATCGAGGCTTTCCAGAGACAAGCCCCTACTTGGGAGCGRCTACGTATGCTGTGTTTTTKGGAAATTGTAGTCGGTGAGTTTACTACTTTATTTTACAACTTTTGTGATATTACTACTATTTCTACTTCCTGTTATCTTCTTCATCATCTTTTTCGCCAGTAAAAACAGCCGGTTGTTGATCACGTGACTCCTGTGATGTGAAAAAAGTGTTTCCATTGCAGTTTTGCGAAAAACACCAATTTCGATACAGCCGAAAAACCACCTCATCCTAGCGCAAAAACATTTTGTCAAAAAACGTAATTTTTTTCGAAATCGACGTGTTTCCATTGAGCAAATTTATTTTCGAAATTCTAATTTGCGAATTTTCATGGTCAGTGGAAACGCAGCTAGTGAATCCACCTCCTAACCGATCAGTGAACGACAGTCTTAAATCACAGAGAAGTATGTTCTGGAAAAAAGCTGGTTCCTCGAATCCTTGCTAGTGGAAAAGCCTTGGAACCGTGGAGAGCCAAGTCGAATGGTGCTGCAGAGGTGCTGGTGGAAAAGGGCCGCAAACTGTAGTTGGTGAGTCACAAATACTGTGACATAATGGTTCAAAAATCATCATAGAAAACAGAGAAAACTAAACAGGTTGAAAAATATTACCCAAACAGAATATAAGGAAATCCACGCAGCACTGGGAGAAACTAAATTCTAAATTTCTGCACTTCTAGAGACTATAAGTACACAAGAAAATGTATTTAACAACTAAAAAAGTGGATTTTGCATATGTTTAAAATGCTACATAGAGAAGTTTTAAACTGTTTATCAACTACAACTTTTGGTCTTATCTGCAGAACTTTGTCCACCTAAGATTTTGACAAGCAGCTCCTCAAATGTTTGTTCTGGTAATTTGATGCTAATTTCTACTATCAAGTTGTGAAATTTGAGAAAATTTAGAAGTACTTCAACAAGAGTTTTAGGTTAAACAGCTGAAACGTGAATCAAAAACAGAAAATGGAAAAAAAAGAACAACCCAAACCCTTCAACTTGTAACGAGAGTGGCTTCAAAAAAGGGCATGAACTCACCATTCTGCTGTTAATAAATTGGAAAGATTGAAGCAATTTAGGAAAAACTGAGAAGGGTCTTTTCATCAGAGGGTGCTTAAGATCTAGTTTACAGTGTTTCAGTTCTTGACAAGGCGACAGCCTCGAGTCACCGTACGGCGGTACCAAGCAGAACTTCAATTTGAAAGTATTACACCACTCAGTGCACTTCTTAACACCAACATGATGGAAATTATTAACGTGATGAAACAAAGAAGAAAGAATCRTATGTRMCCTCTTGAAAACATCAGCGGAAAAGACACTCCTGTCCAGAAGTGTCAAACCTAATAGATTCAGGAGATTGAAAATAACTTGAACTGTTTGACCAGAGCAGTGTGGATCTGTCTTTTTCAGTGAAATGGAAAGAGGCGACGAGGGGACAGGAGGTAGTAGATGTGGCGCTCGGTTCTATTTAAGTGAGGAGGGAACTGAATGGCGTCCTGCTGAGAACATATTTATTATTCACAGGCTGAGGAAAAAACAATCATGTTGGGACGGATGAGAAAGATGCCCAGAGGATGGAGGAGAGAACAGAGATGATGAGGAGCAGAGATTTAAGATAAGCTGAGTCAGACAAAAGCTGAGGAAGTTTGTAATTAAAAAAAAAAAACATTACATGAAAAATCCCTTAATTCTGTTAATGTTTTGCTCATGAGTTCC